CGTTTCATGTTTTTCGCGCTGTCTTAGCACTTCTGCAGAACCGCAGCAGAACCCACGCGCAGCCCACACTGATGCCCGGCCTTTCACCGTGACATTTTCAGCAAATAATCTATCAACGACTCTGGCCAGGGACCCCCTGAGAGTGTGAAGCTGCCAGTGGAAACACCAGCGGAGGGACATGGCAATAAAGATGCCAAAATAGAGAATAGGGAACTGCTTTTTTGCCATTCTATGAAACCACAAGAGAGAGCCTAAATTAGTGAAGAATCAAGAAAGAAAAGGAGTCAGCGACACCAAAAAAAGTACAGATAACGACGAGCAGACACTCCTACGCGCCTCGCTGCGAGGCGGCTGCTCGCCTGCTCTGACGGGGCTCTCGAGACTTGACAAAATAAATGCGATGAAAGGAAGCTGGTGCTGCAGCAGTTTGGAAGAATACTGTCACCTTCACGAAATTTTTCTGCCTATTCAGCCAGATTTGTCCACTCCGCGGATGAATTGGAGGATGAAGTGAACCAAGAAAGGAAGCGTGGTTAGTACCGCCTCCGCGAGGGAGCAGGAAGGAAGGTTTGGGGAAATTAGTCACTAGTAACTTTACTCATCTGTATGGACTCACGAGCAGTTGTACGACCTATTTTTAACTCTCAGAAAAAAAAAAAGAGATGCGGGAACTCAAATATAAATGTATTAATTCAAAAGTTACGTCTTCTTTTTGTCAAGAGCCTTTAAAAAACTTGAGAAAAAACCTACAAAATTGAAGAAAATGTATTTCGCTTTTACTAAGACTCACCGTTGGGCTGAACCAAGTCACAGAAGATGTCAGCTTAAGAAATGAACGTTTTGAGCAGTTACAGGGTCAGAAGAAAATGGGGTTATAAGAGAAATTCTTTTGCAGTCTTACCTGCAGAATAAATTATCGCTCACTTGACTGCAGTAACCACGCTCATATGCACAGGCTGTACCACCGGCAAGAAAACTCCATCAAGTATATTTTTTCTTTTCAGCTTTATTACAACGATAGACTAAAATAGATTTCTTGGCTCATTCAGAGCCTTGATTAGACGTGATTATATGATTCTCTAATCGTAAAGGGTCAAAATAACAGATAAGAGAGCACATTATCCCCCCCGAATGCAAGTAGTTACGTCCTCCTGTACCTCTTGTCCACCACAAACAAAAACAACGGGGTGATGTAGAGGAAGAAAAACCACTTACCACATGCGAGAATCCACTTCGTATTTGTACAAGTCATCTGCCAGCCTGTATTTGTTGGCACTGAACGCTTTGTAGTCAAAATAATAGATAAGAGAGCACCTTATCCCCCTTGAATGCAAGTACTTACATCCTTCTGTACCCCTTGTCCACAAACAAAAATAATGGGGTGGTGTAGAGGAAGAAAAACCACTTACCACATGCGAGAATCCACTTCGTATTTGTACAAGTCATCTGCTAGCCTGTATTTGTTGGCACTGAACGCTTTGTAGCCTCCGTGGATATAAATCGATCTCGTGTTTGGATCGTAAACGCTGCTGTGACCATACCCTCCTTGCACCAAAGCTCCGCTCGTCTGCAAAATGTTCCAGGTATTTGCGGCTGAGAAATGAAAAAAGCGAGGGAGAAAGCATGGCTGATGTCTCTCCGTTAATAACTTCTCAACAAATTGCACAGGGAAGCAAATTGGGTTTCCCTTGACTCGGATTTAGACACCGTCTCTATCGCTTCATATCCAAAAAGTGTTCTCCTTCAAGGAGTTTGTTTGTCAAGAAGTATTGTCCAGTATTTTTAATTAGGCCAGAAATACCTCTTCTACAGTCATTTATTACATTTTGCAGGCAGGCTAAGAAAGTGAGAGATGAAAAGTACAGAAATAATACGCTGCATTTCAACGACATGAAAATGCCAGCGCCGTGGCTTGATCTGGAATGGTACCCAAGAGCACTTTTATTTTATATATATAAAGCCAGACAGCACTGAAGTCAAGTTAAGTATGACTGTGAAGAACATTGCAGTTAAAAACTAGCATGTGATTAACGGTCCTGTAGCTCACTCGCTAAAATAACCTTGGTTTGAAGCACTCTAGACATAATACAACAGCAAGTGAAACAAAAATGTCAAATTACACACCAATTCTGTGTAGCGAGTGCAGAATGGGATCCTGCACGGGTTTCCAAACTCCAGGGCAGATCAGGCACACAAAAGGCAAAGGAATTTACAGTCTGCAAGACCACACGCAGCAACAACAGAACAGCAGGGAAACAAATCGCTGCCGCACACATCCTGGTTTTCTCTGGCTTTCTCCTGGAGGCAGAAAGCTCGCTTGTGTGGCCACCAGTGAACCAGAGCAGGCTCCAGGACAACCTCTGGATCAAGATGACTGAAGGACAAGGATAACAGGTCGGAAGCACAGCTAGGGCTGCTATGTCTGAGAAAAAGCAGCACATTCTCACTGTGAACTTCCTAGACTTAACTATACTCCCTACTGGGTCAGTGAAGCAAGGGACACACCTCCAGAGAGCCACTTCAGAGCAGCTAAGTTAGGTACTGGAAACCTCTGGATCTTAAAATCACAGTATGGACTATTCCCAGAGATACGGGGACCAGATTACATCACAGATAATGGGAGTTCAGAAACTTGTTCCCTGTTCCCCTAAGGCTGTGAAGACAGGGGCATCAGGTTAAGTGGATACTTGGTCTGAACGAGTCCAGCTTCTTGTATTCGCAGGATAAAAAAAATAAATTCCAAAGTGTTTGCTTTGCCGGAGGGAGAGAGGAGAATTAATGTAAATTATCCCACAGTCATCCTGCTTTGTCTCTCAATTAGTTGTTTTGTCTTGGGGAACTAACAAAGCTGTGTAAAGCGGGAGGCACGTGCCTGCCTGTTCACTGGAAGTTCAGCTGAACTTCTTGTACACACAAACAGAAGAAGACACCGTCTGTCTCTGTTTTGCTACGTGAGTACAAATCGTTTGAACAAATTTTCCAACTGTTAGAACTGAAGCGAACAGTAGGCAGGGCCCTACTCACTCAGGTTGTATTCCTGGACGTTGCTGATGTAACCGTAGAGAGGGCAGTGGCCAAAGATGACGAGCATGACGGCGCTGCCGTCCTGCAGGGTGACGATGTGTGCCGAGTGGCCAACGACGGCGTACTGCTCCTTGGCTTTCGGTGTCACCTGGGTCCAGGTCTGCGTGGGAATGTGGAACACCCACAGCTGGCTGGTCACGTTCCCCGTCGCATCTATTTTTCCACCATACATGTATATATCATCCTGGAAAACATCAGTTTTGAAATGAGGCCGACGAGTTTGGCATTTAGGAAAGACCTAATATGTGATTAATTAAGTTATTGCATTTTATCTTCTGGCAGCTTAAGTTTTTCTCCTCTCACAAGGAGAAATTATCTCCTTCACCAGTCACATTCGATACGAAAGCAACCCCGACTGCCAGGGTCTGTACCCAAATCTGTAATGAAAGAACACCTTCAACATATACAATTTACCCAGCAGCAGGGTACAGAGGGGAAGGGGTATGTGGGGAAGGATTTACCTTCAGATGACAGACAGCAAAATTTAGGTGCCTGTATGCTAGCCGAGTGTCTAAATATATATATGTGTATATATATGTGTGTGTGTAAAATACAGTGAGATCTGGAGAATAATTCAACTGATCAAAAGCAGGGAAGGTGTACTCACTTTTGGGTGAGCTGACTTGCTCCCCTGATTTTGCCACCTAGGTCTGTTTTCACTATAAACGGAGCTCAGAAGCTCCCAGAAGCACCCAGAGTTACGTACCTGAACTCAGGGGATTTAATAAGCAAGCTCAACCGCTCCCATAGCGTGCAAATGCAAATAGCAGGAGACACTTCACGGGCAGTTATGATGGAAATTCCTCTTTGTCCCTACACTGAAAGCTTCGTCTTCTTAGTTAATGCTCTAACAAAAAATGAGAACCCTTTGGAAAGACGGGAGCCAGGATAATTAGACAGGGTTTTATTAATCATCTCTTAGGGTTTTATTAATCATCCTGTTAGAGATAAGTTCCAAAACTCTGCCCAGTTTCCTTTGTGGGTTTCTCCAGGCATCTCAGAGTCAGTCATGAACCCACCAAAGTGTGTAATGGAGCCCTCATTCCCCACTGGCAAGGCAGGGCAGGGAAATTCCCCACTAGAGCTGGTGCTTCTTGGGAAATTCCTGAGAACCACTGATGGCAAACCCACTTATCACAGAACCATAGAATCGTTTGGTTTGGAAAAGACCTTTAAGATCACCACATCCAACCATTAACTCAGCACTGCCAAGTCCACCACTAACCCATGTCCCTGAGCACCACATCCACATGGTTTTTAAATCCCTCCAGGGGTAGGAACTCCACCACTGCCCTGGGCAGCCTGTGCCAGGGCTCGACAACCCTTCTGGGGAAGACGTTTTTTCCTAAGACACAATCTCAACCTCCTCTGGTGCAGCTTGAGGCCATTTCCTCTTGCTTTATCCCTTGTTACTGGGGAGAAGAGACCGACCCCACCTCGCTACAACCTCCTGTCAGGGAGTTGCAGAGAGCACAAAGGTCTCCCCTCAACCTCCTCTTCTCCAGCTGAACATCCCCAGCTCCCTCAGCCGCTCCCCATCATACTCGTTCTCCAGACCCTTCCCCAGCTCTATTGTCCTTCTCTGGACACCTCCAGCACCTCAATGTTGTTCTTGCAGTGAGGGACCCAAAACTAAACAAAATATTCAAGGTATAGTATTTGATTAGGTAGACCTGAGAATGCATTAGTGCTTCTTAACCTTTCTTCTTGCCCTTCTTTGAACACAATCTTTCTTTTGAAAAGCTGTTCGCAGAATGAGCCCCAGCAGGTAGGAATTTCCATCCTTCTCAGGTTCCTCAAGTGTTCTGTTTGTGAACAGTGCTGTGTGGAGTTTTTCAAGTGCTTCTAATTATGCTTGCGCTGTGATGAGCTAATTAACATTCCAAAATCAAAGGTCAGCAATGGATTGGCTCATTTCCTTTTCAAAGACTTTGCCATTCTGCTCTCTCATGGCCCATACCCAAAGCAAGGCAACGAAGTTAAGAAAGAATCAAAAAAACCTGCTGGTTCACGTGTTGGAAGAAGGGATTCACACGTCCACTGCAGAAGCAGAGCTAAAAAATCTTTAATTCAGTGGCTCTGCTTTGATGCCTTGGGCAACAGAGCTCATAAAAATATTTAGGTGGTCTACACAAAAGGCAGCTGGGGAACAAGCTAAGCCCCAGTAAAGTCCAGCCGTCAGGCATCTCCTGCTAGCACAGACCGTAAGAAGGAAATAATGGAGTTACTGACCTCGGTCAGCCTTAAAATCTCTGAGAAAAGGGTAAAGAAGGAGCACACTAGGAAAGGAACTACAGACTTGATAGAATTCCAGTCCAACGACTCACTGGAGTACCATTACACAGACTGGGATACCCACAGACAAGCTGCTGCAGGAGAAACACTTCTCCGAAAGGAAGATTGATCGATGGAACGGGACCGGCGCGGGGGAGATGGAGAAATCATCCACGAGGTGAGTCTGCAGGACTGAACTTACCTTATACAACGCCAGCGAATGACCGTATCTCATCTCTACCGAGTTCACAGTGTTGTTCAGCGGAAGCCACTCTTCAGAGATAAGATCATACCTGTGTAATAAAAATTGAACTGATTTCTCAAGAAGTAGACGGTAAAGTTGAGAAGATTATTGTTCGTCCTTTCTGGGATATGTGGGAAATTATTTGATTTAATGAAAGCCATAGATATACCAAGATTTTGGCAAACAAAAAACACTTCCAGACTACTCAAGGATTACAAAACTCGGTCGAGCCTGCTCCGTCACTTAACGTCCACTTGTTGATTTGCGTTTCCCCAAGTTTTCTTTTCCATGCAAAACGAAGAGATAACGCCTTGTGTTGTATGAAGCTACGACAACTTACACCACGTGATCCACCCAAAAGAGCAGAAAAACAGATAAACAAAAACACCTGCCACTGCTTAAAAGCCATTTTTTAATTAGGCCTTTGTCATCTGAGTGTATTTTTTTCTGTGCACTTCAAACAAGATAAACCCTTCGCCCTTAAAATGGCCTGTGGCTTTTTAGATAAAAGAATGAACTACACTTGCCAGGCTTACAGTCTCATAAAATAAAATCATCTCTGCGAAAGCGTTCGGTGAAGCCACAGAGTATCTGTTGAAAATCCAGGCATGACTTTGGAAGGGCAAATTGTGGACGTAATCAGCAACTATTCTACACCCAAGTGTGCATTTTCAAACCCTCTTTAACTTCCCTTAGAAGAACCATTTGTTACCACTGGACGTGGGCGCAGAACACGCAGCTCTCACTTAGGTCCACAAAATTGAGGGGAAAACTCATCTTTTGCCTAAATCTGCCCAAATACTACCAAGCTCAAGAGGAAGCCTGAAATGTTTGGGTTTTGTTTTTTTTTCTTTATGGGGGATTTCCATGCAGCACATAATTATTATTTGATATTTCAGTCACTGTTAAATCTCTCTGACTAACTGCACAAACGTCACCATCCTAAACGCCACTCCCTGCTTAGTATCTCACCCTCTACGCATAAACACCCACAGTAATCAGGATGCATTAATTAAGGAGCCAAACACTCTGAAGTCACACAGATACAACACAATCTCATATCAAGAAGGGCTAATGGCACAGAAGCACTCCTTAGCAGCTTTTCCCCAAGTCTCTAACGTGAGCCTCAGTTTTTCTTACTGCTGTTTTCCCCTGGAGATGAAGTGTAGGCAAAAGCACAGCGTGTCAGATGGCATTTTCTAAAAATAATTCTCAAATCCAAGTTCCCCTACTTAGACTTTATTATCTAGGTTTATACTCACGCTAAAACCTTCTGAGAGTCAGAATGATTGAAGACATAGCCTCCAACAATCCACATTTTATTGTCATGGATTACGGTTTTGTGAGATGCTCTAGGAAGTTTTGGAAGAGAGTATTCCTCCCGGGTCCAAAATGACTGGTTCGCAGGAACAGGAATTGAACAGCCAGGACCTAGGAAAATAAGGATTAGAAGTTAAATTGATTTTTTACAAAGCCTGTACTTCAGCTAGAGGTCAATACCCCGCACCACAGGTAACACAGATGGTGCACGGCCTCATTTCTTTGCCCACCCCAGCAATCTGTGATGCACTTGGTGTGCGATCACCCAACCGCAACCACAGACTTCAAATTTAAAATTGTCTTCAGAGCTAAAAAGCAGTTCCAGACTAGATGAATCTGTGACGCAGCAAAGCAGACACTCTGCCTTGTTACCCCTCGCTGTGATTACAGGGGGGCAGACGCCCTCCCACTCCACATGACAAGGGAGTGGTGAGACACTGGAAGAGGTTGCCCGAGGAGATCGTGGCAGTCCCATCCCTGGAAGGGTTCAAGCCAGGTTGGACGGGGCTTGGAGCAACCTGGGCTGGTGGGAGAGAGGTGTCCCTGCCCACAGCAGGGGAGTTGGAAAGAGACGATCTTTAAGGTCTCTTCCAACCTGAACCATTCTATGATTCTATGCTTGATTCTATGGTTCTAAGATTGATTTTTTCATCTATATATATGAAAATGTAGATACCATATTCTTAGTCAACATGCTAACACTTGTCAAGCAAAATATTCTTAAATACTCCCAGTTGACCTGCAAGAGCCACACAAGGAAAAGGCATCCAAAAGCTTCTCTACATTGACCAGGAGGCTTACCTTGCCAGCCTGCAGAGCACAAACACGCCTTAGTGTCATTCAAGTTGCAACGTCCTCTCTCAGGAGCCCCACAATCATCGTCGCAGTAGGGAATGTCACAGGCTTCTCCCTTCCAGTATTTGGCACATTCACATTCCAGAGCGTTGCTGCTGTTATTGAGCTTGCACTCTCCTCGGCCGGAGCAATTATTGGGACACATATTGAAACTGCAAACGGGAGAAAGAAGGTCTGTCAGTAAGGAAACAGATTCCCCAGCCCAACCTCTTATTAACAAACGTAAGAGTGATGCTGAACAGAAATTAGCGCAGCTGTTTGCTAACGAACAAACCAACAAGAGCTGCTCATCCAGAATCTGACGTGAGGGACCCGCAGAGATTTGTTCTCTTGTCTACTATCTATAGAGCTGCCTCACTTAGTGAGTTAAACTTGCACCTCCTCTGAAAAATTATCAGTCCGACTTTTAGCCATTTGTAATGCAAATGAACTGTCTTAAAACAGCCAACAGTGAGAATGTAATCAGCACTTAAGGCTTTTGTAGGGTCTGTGCAATTGGTACTAAACTACTCACAATTAGGAGCTATTCTGGGATCTGCTTACGCTTGAGATGAATCCCAAGCCGAAGATGTGCCGGTTTTGAATGATTTCTGATTTTATAGTATCTGTGATGTAGCTGAGGCAAAAACCAGGCACATCCTTGGTGAAAACTCAAATTCAGAGATCTTATCCATTTCCAACTTGCGGGTTTTTTGTGGTGTATCAATCAGTCTAATTCACAGATCGGGATTAATCCCCAATATCCTCACTGCCAGCTGGAGTCATAGAATCATAGAATCATAGAAAGGCTGTGGCTCTGAGACCATAATTTTACAAGTACTGGTTGAATACCTACCATCAGGAGTACCTAAAAAGCCTGTTAAACTCCAAATAAATAAACGTTAGGAAGAGACCTGACAACCAGAACGCATAGAAGAAACAAACCACGAAACAGTACTTGAAAATTGTTTGAAACTATGAAGACAGCAAAGCGTTAAAGAAACATTCAATCTTCTACAGGAACTTGAAAAGGCAGGTTATTCTGGAAAAGAACATACTGCAACGGTGCAATACAGGCAGCTGGCAGTAGATGGTGGCATGGGCTATGGGATCAGACTTTCCAAATACTCCTGCTTCAGCTGCTTTGTTTCAAGGAACTGCAGAGGCTCCTTGTTTCCTTCCGCAGCTTTCGATGGGTGCTCGACGGCCCCCACTCTTCAAAGAATCCACTGCGTATTTAAGGATGAATGCACCAAGACCGGTATTCAAAAATTAAGCACTAATTTTAAGGAAAGCTTTCAATTTTTTGCAAAAAGTCACTTGTGACCAAGGATTTTGCAGTCGATTTTTTTGGAACCAGGTGAGATTTTCTGCAAGTTACTCCCAAATTAAAACCTCCCAGTGCAGCACAAACATAATTTGCAGCTGTAGGAGCGAAAAAGTTTAAAGCCCATGATCGCCACCAGAAGCAAGAAATTCTATCTCTGCCAGCATGTCCACGCTGAGATCATCTACTTCATAACCAAACCTTTCTAAAAGCTGCCCATGAATTAGGGAGTACCCTGGAATTATTTTTTAAAAGTTTAGGACTTAATCTGTGTTAGTGAACAGATAGCACCCACCTACGATAGTTAAAATATGAACTGAAGACCGTAAGAAAACCACTACAGACCAAAAAGGAGCCAGATGAAGAGACTCAATCTCTCAATCCAAGCACTGAATAAGAAAGAGCATCCCAAAGAAAGCTGCTCAAGGATCCCTCACGGCAGGTAGAGCCCAGTGTCCCAAGCGTGATGTTTGCACGTACGAAAAAGCGTATTTGTGCAGAATTACCTCTGCAGAACGCAGAAGAGCATGTGCTTGTTTGACCGAGTATGACAAAATAAATCTAATAACATAAAATAAATAACATGGTGTTTTTCTGAGCAAACATTTGCCCACGCTTACAACTGACAACTAAAGTTAATGTTGAGCACATGACAGTGATTACTCGTTGCAAGGGTATAATAAAGATAAAAATCTAAATTCAAGTATCGACTCATAATTACAAACTTCAGTGGTAATTGTTTATTTCGAGACAAAACTGAGAAAAGAGGAAACCTCGCTTTGCTCAACCTGCAACATCCCTTTGGAGCGGCACTACTTACTTATATGTGATGTTAAACCCTGTTAAATTATAGGCAGCATCACTGAAGAAATGCAGAAGGGCGTATCCAGAAGTAGCTACAACTTCTGGGACTGTTTCATTGCTGTCTTTCTCAGGAACAATAAGACCACTGGAAAAGAAAAGAAGAAAGAAAACTATGTTAGAAGTGAAATGAAAGGGACTAAGCAACAATGGGAAATGCATCAGTTATTAATAAAACAATTGAAACTCAAGGTATTTATTTGCATCTATTTCAAGTGTAAAGGGTTCGTGTACAGCCATCGTTTTCAGAGAGCGGTGTTATCAGATTGGGGTTTTTTTCAACAGAACTCCTGAAATACTCAAAAGAAACCATCTTGACATTGTGAGTACATGTATCCAACCGACACTCAAAGCAATTTCGTTCTCAAAGGCGTAACAATCCTCAAGATTCTCTCAGAAAGATAAAACTACATTATTCAGGGACCAGCTAATTAAGTCCTCTTGCTTGGCTTCATCATCTGCAATACAGTGGTCGTGTTATAGACCAAGGAGTGCAAATTAGGATATTGAGGCTAAGGAGAATGGCATTACTGCTGCCCTTAATTTACACCACTTTGGTCTCCAAGAAGAAATGGCTGCAGAAAGGAACGGAAATAGAAAACCCCGAAGTGATTAACTTTGTTCTTCTGAAAGATAATGTATATTAAAAGTGTTTAACCTGAGTAAAATTGAAGCTCTCCAGTATTCCAGTTATCATGACCAAAATATGACTTTCTCTATCTTATTATTCTACTGTGATTTGATAGAATGATAGACTGGCCTAGGCTGGAAGG